GTGGCAGGCCTTGGTGTTTTTCCACTTGAAAAGGGAGATGATGAGTTCTCATTCCCCCAAGGGACTGGAGAGAGCCATGGTCCAGGAAGGGGCCCCAGAGGCCAGTGCAGATCTGAGAGTCAGGGAGTCTAGGGAGGTCCTCATGAAATTTTCACGTTCCTTCTGGAATTGGGCAATTTGAGACCAGAGGAGGAGGGGCCCTTGCTCAGAGTCCCTGTGGACAGCAGTAGCAGAACCAGGCTTGGTGCCTAGGCCAACCTTCTTCCCACGCGCTCCTGTGGCTTTTGAACCTGAGAAGGAAGAGAAAGGGTGGAATAACCTGCCCCTGCTCACTTGCCGGCTCCTGCCTGAGTAGTGTGGAGACCCAGTCCACATGGGCATGTCAGAGTGGACAGGCAAGGCTATTTTGAGATAATTAGGATAGAAAGATAGAAACAGCTTTTTAATCTGAAACATTTGGGTAATTTAGGCAAAAGGATATATTATTCCCCAATCCCTAGATCGGTGTTTTTAACCTTTTTTATTGCACACTACATTTGATCCTATAGTTAAACTTCCACGGCACACTTAAATTATGTTGATCAAAAAGAAGACTTCAAAAAAAAAGAATTACTTACTGTACTCTGAACTTCTTTTGAAATAATTTCATTAATGATCTTCAAAAATTTTCAAGGTACACATAAGATCCTCTCAGAGCCCACTAGTGTGCCGCTGCAAACCGGTTGAAAATCAGGGCCCTAAATAAATATCTTTATCCTGCACTTACTTCTCCTATGAGGAATTTGACTCTTTTTTGGTTTGTTTCTTGAGACAGAGTCTCACTCTGTTGCCTCAGGTAGAGTGCAATGGCACGATCATAGTGCACTGCAGCCTCAAACTCCTGGGCCCAGTGATTCTCCTGCCTCAGCCTCCCAAGTATCTGAGACAACAAGGTACATGCCACCTTGTCTGGCTAATTTTTAAAATATATATATATATATATATATATATATATATATATATTTTGCAGAGAGAGGGTCTTGCCATGTCACCCAGGCTGGTCTTGAACTCCTGACTTCAAGTGCTCCTTCTTATATAACCTAGACATAATTTTCCACAGCTCCTCCCCATGTTAAGGGGAGGAGCTGGTCATACTGGGGAGTACTGGTCATACTTGTGCTGTAGGAGGACATGCCAGCTTCCCTACATGCTGGCATTATAGGCTAAGCCACCACACCAGGCCTGGAATTTGACTCTTAAACTCTTTTGGTTTAAGAGCCTGGCTGGCTGCCAGTCTTCTGGAGGAGTTTAACAGACATGTGTCTGACTGATCAGGCACTTCAAGATCACATTGTCATCAGGGTTCTGGTCATGAAGGTGGGCATGGAGCTCTGGGGAAGGTTGAGTCTGGGTGACTCAGGTATAACAGCAGTTTACTCTGTTATCATCTGTAGATGCAGGCACACCACCCTGCCTCCACTGGGGCAAGTAAAATGACAGAATGCCAAAGTTAGAATAATGCTTAGGGGGATACCTAACCCAGTGCCTGCGTTTGTAGGTAGATGGGGGAGTGAAGGCCAGGGAGATCAGGGGCTTTCCTAAAGCCTGGGAGCCAGGACTACGGCCCAGGCCTCTTAGTTGTCTGGCCATTGCCCTTGTCCCTTCTCCACCATGTTTTCTGGAAAGCTGTGTCACAAAAGAGAAAGACGGAGAAAGCTCAGAGAAGGCTGGAGAGACTGGCAGAGTTACTAACAGAGCTAATTCAAAGAACAAGGACTTATACATAGCGCAGTCATCTTCAACAGGTATGCTGTGAGAGGAACTTAGATGTGCCTCGAAAACTGTTAAAGATCGTTAGTGAAATTACTTTCAAAAGAAGTTCAAAGCACAAAAATTATATATTCTTTTTACTCATTTTTTTTTGATCAACATAATTTAAGCCTGCCGTAAAAGTTTAACTACAAGTTCAAGTGTGTCGTGAGATAAAAAAGGTTGAAAAATAGTGGCTTAGAGACATGGAGGTTCCAAGGGGCTGTGAACGGAGCTTGTGATCAAGGAGCCAGGTCAAGGCCCAGAGCAAGGTCTCTTTGTTGTGTTGCACAGTGCTGAAAAGATAGGATCAAAGCCCAGGGGACATTAGTCCTGAAACCAAGTGCCCATGACAATTGCTTCTACTTCTCCAGGCTCTTCCTTTCTTCCTCAATGCTTATTTTTTTCCAACTTTTACTAACTGTGTGACCTTGGATAAATCACTTAGTTTCTATACCTCAGTTTTCCCATTTTAAAAAGAAACTAAGAATAGTACCTTCCTCATAGGGGTGTTTTAACAGTTTGATGAAATAACACACGTAAAGTGCTTATGACAGTGCCTGATGCATGACTAACACTATATATATTGGCTTTTAAAATCTCGTTACTGTACTGAGGCTTCCAACCAAGGATTAGCTGCTTCAGTAAGTTAGTGTGGAACACAGTGTTTGAAAGTCATCTCCTTAGTTCCAAATACAGAGCCGTTCCAGCATAAATGTTGTAGGTGGAGAATATAACCTAGGCATCATTTTGCACAGCTCTGCCCCATGTTAAGGGTTTTAACTGGGGAGTACTGGCCATACTTGTGCTGTAGGAGGCCCCTCTCAAACCCCTCCAGCATCTGTGAGTAGGTGCAGGAGAGAATGGAGGGGGGTGAGATACAGCAGATGAGTGGGCACTGACACTCAGCTGAGGGCAGGACATCCTGACCCAGGAGAGGGGCAGGAGAGATGGGTGGGAGGTACTCACTGTGTGTGTCAGGATGTGGCCCTCATCAGGATGAGGGCAAGGCATGGAACAGGAGCTGTGTGGGATGACAGAGTCCACATTTTGGAGTTCTGAATCCAGACAGATAAGCGTCCAGTCTTTTCTCTTTTATTCCAGACCCCAATGAGCCCTTGACATGGCCTCTCTTATAACCTGGAGGACCATTTTCTCCCTATTGTTTTCATAGTGAATGGTGACCTGGGCCAGTGATCTTAACAGCTTGGGTGTCCTGTTTGGGGATAGCATGGAAACTATTTCCTCTGAGAAACCAATGGGCTTCCTGAGGCTCAAGGAATATCAGGCAGTCTGCTGTTTTATATTCTGAAGTGCTCGAGTGCTTGTTGCTTGTCTCATTGCAGTTGAAGGATTTCCAGTGTCACTTGCTTATCAGATGTTGGGAACTCACTTTCCCATTGCCATGGCCCAAGCGAGGAAACTGCTTGCTTGGTACTGTTGAACAGTCATCACGTGCCGGGCCCTGGGCCATAGATCTTGCAGACATTTCATTTAAAGCTATGAAGGAAGGACAGTTGTCACTGCCAGTTTATGGATAGGGAAACTGAGGGTCCACTGTATCATATCACCTCTCATCTTAAAGTAATTGGACCACAGTAGTATGGGTATAGATTTCTGGCTCTGTGTTACAGGCCCTGGACAGTGACCACATGTTGCTGTGCATGGGGGACTGTGCCATGGTCTCCTTGGCTTCTCTTCTCCTGCCTTGAAGAGGAGAGACACAGCTCAGCGTGAGACTTGGGTATTCTTTGGACTTGGTATCATTTCATAAGGGTCTCCTAAATACATACTGCATATCAGATATTTACATTACAATGCATAACAGTAGCAAAATTACAGTTATGAAGTAGGAAGGAAAATAATTTTATGGTTGGGGTCACCACAACATGAGGAACTGTATTAAAGGGTCACAGCATTAGGAAGGGTGAGAAGCACCCTAGAAGAAGGCAAGAAATATACCCCTAAGGAGCCCTGGAAATGTGAAATGAAGAGAGAGGTCTGCATTCGGCTGTTTCCCTTCTTCCCTCTCATTCACTTCATGTACCAGGAACTTCTTAGTTACTATTTTTTTTTTTTGAGACAGAGCCTCTAGCTGTCACCCTGGGTAGAGTGTGTGACATCACAGCTCATAGCAACCTCCAGCTCCTGGGTTCAAGGGCTTCTCCTGCCTCCGCCTCCCAAGTAGCTGGGACTACAGGCACCGGCCACAAAATGCTGGGCTATTTTTTTTTTTTTTTTTTTTGGTTGAAGCCATCATTGTTGTTTGGCAGACTCGGGCTGGATTTGAACCTGCCAGCTCAGGTGTATGTGGCTGGTGCCTTAACCTCTTGAGCTACAGGCACCAAGCCTTAGTTACCATTTTTATTGTAAGAGAGATCCCTACCATTTTTAATCCTTCTGACTGCCTATCTACCTTAAACCTTTTGCTCCTGAGACTGCGTCATGGCACTCTACCTCTATCTCTTTGAGTCTCTCTCCTCTCTTGACACTTCAGAGTTCCACAGGCTTCCATCCTTGGCATCTGCCTCTGTCCTTCCTCTTCCTCCCTCTGGGAAATCTGTACTCAGCCCCTACCTCCTGGGAGCTACCTGGAGTCCATGTGCATTTCAAGCTCAGTGAGTCTGAGGTGGAACTCCTCATCTGCCACACTAGCCGGCTCCTTCCAGCCACGTTCTCCTTATTTCAGTGGGTAGTTCCAGCACCATTAAAGCCATGGAGGCCATCCTTGATTCCTTCCTCTCCCTCCTCCCCACACCCTGAAACTGAGTATCCAGCAGGTCATGCTATTACCCCCTTAGCAACTGGGAGTGAAGACACCTGTCCCTACAAGGTGGTGTCTCTGAAGGCCCAGATGTGGCATGGCAATAGCTTTGATGGGTGGTACCCTGCATTCTCTGAGCTGGCCGCCTTCCAAGCATACCTGCTGGGCCTCCTGGGCTCCATCCAAAGTCAAGTCCTTTCTCACATACTATTGGGCCCCTCAAACCCTCTGCAGCACTGTCTCTCCTATGAGCGATTTCCTCAGCTTCCTCCTCCTCCAGCCCTGCCCAGGCCCCTCCCGTAAGGGTCCTCCTACCCGTCAGCTGCAGAGCCCCTCCACCCCAGGCTATGCCGCAGAGTCCCTGGGCTGCAAGTGGCCCCTCCACAGGGATACAGAGTATCAGCTTTGTATCTCTATGAGCTAAAAGCATTCCCTTTCTCATCTTCAGGGGACTGCAGCCTTCAGATACCCACAGGACCCGCTGCCTCATCTTGGCCATCGCAGACATTGTGTGGCGGGCTGGGAATAAAGAGAGCGCTGTGATCACACTGTAAGTTGTATTGAGGGCTGTGTTGCTACTGCTCAACCTCTGTTGGCATAGTGGCAATAAGCTGGCTATGTATGTTCCTGTCCTCGGGGCCTAAGGACCGCATCTGTGTGTCCTTCAGCACCCTGCCATGTCACATGCTGGGATGAGCCTGAGAGTCAGCCTGACTCTCAGGTAGCTGGGTAGCCCAGATTGTAGGAGGGGCCCACGCCTGCCACATGGCTCTGGGATATCCTTCCTAGGCCTCAATTCTCATCTTGAAAGGGCAGTCATATTTTCCTCCTGGGGAGCTTTAGGATGACCCCTTTGAGAAAATCTCTGACTCTAGCAGTCAGGTCCTCTTTATATTTCTCTGATTTGGAGGCCTCAAAAAATAGCTCTCAAGTTTAGCCAATAGTGATCCAATTCTACTGTCATTCCTAGTCCCCACAGTGTGTTCCCATTTTCTCTGTCTCTTGGTCCCTATTCCATAGAGGAGGAGACTCAGAGAGTTCAGCTGGAGCCCTGGACCTGGACTCCGTTGCCCCAACCTGCATGGTCTTTCCCTGCTGCCTGCATTCTACCCCATGTAATCCACATGATGGTATGCTGAAATCATATGGATTATGATGGGCCAAGGTGCACACTCTGGGGTGGGTGTACCATCCTCCGGCTTGGGTGGCTTATGCTGTGTGTTTGTTTCTTATTAGCTCACACTGCACAGTTTGACCTGCTATGAGGAGCTGGTGACTTTTCTTCACTATAGTGACTTGGTCACAATAGCAGTGTAAGGGAAGGGGCCTTTAGAGGCGTAATCTCAACACTGTTGCTTATTGGCTGTGTGATCTTGGGCAATTGACTTAACCTCTCTATGCCTCATCTGTTTACTCATCTGGAAAATGAGACTGACAGTAATTATAACTTAATAAGATGGTTATAAAAACTAAATGAGTTAATATAAATAAATTACATGTAATAAATATATCAATTTAAATAATTTATCACCTGTGAGTATGAACAGGGGATAATAATAAATGTGCTTAGGCAAAAATCTGGCATTTACTAATCCTGACACTTAGGATCTACAGGGCAGGCCTGAGAGCAGATGGGGCAAGAATTCATTTTCTCCTGTCTTACATATTAGGAAGCAGAATCCCAGAGTTGGGGAGGGACAGTGGCTGGTCCAAGACTACACAGCAGCTAATGGCACAGTGGGCCTCAAACCCAAACCCTTCTTCTAGTCCCTTCTACATTGGGATACCTACCCAGTGGGTGTGTCAAAGATGCTGATGGCATAGAGGTGGAGAGTCCCTCCCAGAGGGGACAAAGGCTGGAGTTCCTCAAGTCAATGAAAACAGCCGGCCAGGCGGCATTCCTTAGTCTGGAAATATATTTGTCGTTTGTGGGTGAGAGTCAGACTTCCTACTGCCAGGACTTTGGTTTGGTTATTCCAAGCTCGCTCTCTGCTGTCTTTTTTCCATTTCTTTTTTTCCCCTCCCCTGCTAGTGGAGTTCTCTGGATCCAGCCTAGTGGGTGAGTTCAAAGTGGGGAAAAACGAGAAACCCTTGGCTCTATTCTTTCCTCTGGAGCCACTTTCTTATTTGCCCTCATTAAATGACACATGTGGTTTCACCCTGGCTGGAGGGCACATCTTCTAAGTGGAGGACTCATGCACCTTCTTTTCCTTTTTAGGGCTTCGGGAATACAACAGTTCAGTCCAACAGGGAAATACAAAGCAGATGGAGTCTTAGAAACAGTACGGCTTTCTGGAAAATTATCACGCAACCTTTGGCTTTGTTTGGGGACTGTCTCCTTTCATATAAGTAAATCCTTCCCCAGCTGGGGATGGGCTGGCTTTCCCTGCAGCCCAGGCCCACAGAATCCTTCTGGGATTGAGATGGGGGCAGACATAGGGTGGCTTTGGGGAGGGGCTCTTGCCAGAGCTGGCTTTATAGCCAAAATGCTAACTGGCTCCTTGTTACCTTGAAGGTGTACAGAGCTGCAGTTGCACCAGCAGTAGGTACAGCATGCCTTTCGTTGAGCCCCAACCTTCTTTCTGTCCCTCTCTAGTATTGTCATGGGAGGGTTGTGGGATGGGGTGGGATGGAACAGGGATGGAAGTTAGAAAGTGGGGAGGAACTCAATAGCTTGGACTCTCAGCCGTCCAACCAGACCCAAGGAGTACAAAATGAGGGAAAAATGAGAGGTACACACTTTTGTATTTTTGAAAATATGGAAACAGTGAAGTTTTCCAACCACTTCTTCACTGAGAATTTTTGCTTTAATTAGTTTCATTTGACCTAGGTTTAGGCACGTGTGGCCCTGTGACCCTAATTAAGGGTCTGACATTGTTGAATGCTTTTTCTAAAAGTGTTTTTTCCTGGTCTGCCTGAGAAAGCAGACTCATAACTGCTGCTTCCCATTGGACTCAGGATATGGGCCTGTTGGGCTTTGACCCAGCCTGGCTATTGTGATTTGGATGTGGCACCTGCCCCCACTCACCCCTACCCTCAGCCTCTTCTCAGATGTCAATGACTAGCCCGTGGGGGCGCAGCTGTCCTCTGTTGGGGCCATGCATGATGCTGGATCCTTTGCTTTAGTCCCATGATATCTGGAATCCTGGGGTCCCCTGCTACAGGGCAGACTTAGCCTGGAGACCCCACCTGTCCTAGGCCTGCCTTTCAGTTGCACACAGCTGTGGGTGTACCTCTCAGCCCAGCTCTAGAGGATGCTCCTATCTGATTCAAGGACTTTCCTGAGTGGGATTTTATAGCTGTGGAAGCCAGGGTGGAAGAAGCTAGTCTAAGAGGGCACCATCCTCCGGCTTGGGTGGCTTATGCTGTGTGTTTGTTTCTTACTAGCTCACACTGCACAGTTTGACCTGCTATGAGGAGCTGGTGACTTTTCTTCAGCAAAGCATTCGTCAGGTATGAGCTATGGTTTATTTGTGTAGGCTGTGCATTACTGGCTTTCTACTTTCATTGTGAAAGAGATGCTGATGCACCTCCCTCTTCATCCCCTTACCCTGGGCGGTGGCAGAGAGGCTGGGAAGGGGCTGATGCCGACCCCTAGGTGGTGGGCCAAGGATTTCCAGTGTCACTTGCTTATCAGATGTTGGGAACTCACTTTCCCATTGCCATGGCCCAAGCGAGGAAACTGCTAGAGAAGAGTGGACTTGGTGGCAAGGAGTCCAGTCTCTGCCATTGCATCCTTATTGTCTGGCCATGGGGATAAGCTCAGGGAACAGCCACAGCTGGGGCTGCAGAAAGCAGAGCTGGGCTGGGTGGGGTGGGAATGAAGGGGAAGCAGCTCACAGACAGTGGTCATGAGAGCTCTCTGTCCCAGCGGAAGCATCTGTTTCTGGAAATCATGACCTCTTTGTCAGCAGACTGGGTTGTAGGCCCAGTGGTGGGGGTGGGGGCGACAAGAAGAGGCTTGTTGGACGGGGTTGAAGGCTTAGCTGTGCTTATGGAGATGCTGCTTGGTGTCTCTGGGGAGGCAGAGACAGACCCAGGTGGGGCCTCCAAAGGGAGCCTGAAACAGGGGCCTGGGGATCTCTTCTGGCTTATCTATCTCCACTGGAGGAGAACTGTGCATCTGCTTTTGGTGGTAGGGCAGGTGGAATGTGGCCAGGGCCAGACAGCAGCAGAGTTAAAGGGCTCCAGGAATTCAGGCTAGGGCTGTGGCATCACTGGCTTTGTAGAGAGGGTATTGCACATCCTAGGGGTATAGCACATGGTCTCTGGAGCCAGTTATCCTGGCCTGGGATCTAATAGTTCTGTGACCTTGAGCAACTTACTGAGTAACTCTGTACCTCAGTTTCCTCATCTGTAAGATGTGGCTAATAATACCAGTGCCTCCCTCAGAGCCTATGCAGAGCCCCGAATAGCCATGACTTGCTCTGTGTTCTCAGTGACTACTGGCTCCTGCTGTTGGTGTTATGCTTACCACTGTCATGGTGATTGGAGGGCAGCCCTGACGTGAGTGAGTAGTGAACACATGAAATACTGGGAAGCCCAGGTATGCATAGTGAGCCAACACCAGGAGGCCCCTGATCTCTGAGATCCCCAACCGCAAGGCCTTGCGATTCTGTTATCTGTGTGCCAGGATCAAAGTAAAGAAAGAGCATCTGCCTTTCTCTCCTGGGGTGTAGGCAAGACTCTGGACATCCCCTTGGCCTTTCCTTTGGCCTCTGGGTATGGGATTTGCTCTTTTAGGCCCCAGGAAAGGCACCAGAGGATTTGATGCTGAGCTGTGTGGGGTGAACTTGTTGGATGTGGGACCAGGCCTGCCATCTAAATACCCTCCCCCGGCACTTTTCTCCAAAGACCCAAAGAACCTGGGCACAGCCCTGAGAAGTGCCCAGGACCTGACAGTAACAGATGCCTCTGGAGTAGGAAACGGGGCCTGCCCGGAGAACAAAGCGGAAGCATGTATGTGGTCACTGGAGGCACCAATTCTCTCAAGTCCTCTTGTCCCAGGGTTCTTATTTCATATGAAGACCCAGACCAGGCAGGGCCCTGGGGCCTGGCACAGAGGTGCAGTTAGGATGACTTCCTTCCTGTGACTCCCTTTCTTGCTCTGTCCAGCCTGCTGGGAGGTGAGTGGGAAAGGAGTTCCTGGCCCCATTGTAGAGAGCCCTAGGCTGGCTGCTTTTATTCCCTGTCCCTGCCTCTCTCTGGTCCTTTATCAGAATAACCCAGTGGTCTTTCTGCATGCTATGTGCTCACTGCTTGGCTCAGAGTGGCCAGAGGGCCTGGAACAGGGGCTTGGGGACCTCCTCTGGCTTGTCCTTAGTCATGTGAGCCCTTGAGAAAGTCACTGGGCTTCTGTTTCCTCATCTGGAAATTGGAATATGTAGGGTTTACCAGACAACTTCTAGCTCTTCACCCTCTAATAGTGGTTCTCAAAGAACCTTAAACATATGGGGAATCATGTTTTCTAAATGAAGTACCAGGCAATCTGAATCAGCAGGAAGGAGACCTGCTGTTAAATCCCAAGCATGTGAGAATACAGCAGTCCATGTGAGAGGCGAGCAGAGCATGTCGGCATCAGTGTGCATAACTACCGGCACCTGTGCCCCACTGCTGGGTAGAGCTGAGCGTGAAGCCACCATGTTCAGGAGAGGGGCCCAAGGAGGGGCCTGAGGGTGATTGCCCAAGTGACCGAAAGTTGTGAGGCTTGTCCCTGCCCATTGATGACCCTGGGTGGCCTCTCAGCACTGGGGCCTCTGTAAACTTGTCTGTAAGGTGGGGTCTCCCCCTTGACTGGTACAGCAGAGGCCTAAGGAAGACAGTGACTATGAAAGGGGTTCAGAGAGGTCTGCTGCAGGGTAAGGGGGCTTCCTTTATTCAGTGACTGGACTCAAAGTAATCCCCTTCTCACCTAGCTTTGGTCCTTGGTACAGAGGGTCAGTGTTTGGCCCTCCTCACTTTGAAAGGCAGTTTTCCCCCTGTAGTTAATTTGTTTTTGCTGGAAGCATTTGAGCTGCCTCAGCACTACGCTCACTAAATTCATTTTTCATGGCCTGGGCCTAAGAGGGGTTTCTCATGCCAGGCCTGGAAATGCATACTGAGCCATCTCTGCCCAAAATAAATAGCCTCCTTGCCGTGTTTTCATTACCACTCACGCTCTGGGTGAGCTGTCTCGGGCCCCTGGCCAGCTCAGGGATGCCCCCGCCCCTGTCTGTCATTGGAGTTCCTTGGTGGGTTCAGGTCTCTTAGGGCCACAGAGCAGTGCTGGAAGAATGGCCTCTTCTGCCTAAGCAGCACCAGACATTTTTCCAGACCCGAACAGTGGTTTCCGGCCCAATTGCCTTGTCTGAGCTTGCCTTTCAAGGCAGGCACATTGCCCTGTGGCCTCAGTGTCTTGGCAGCTTGAATTTGATGAGATAATTTTAATAAAAGTTAAAAAAACCCAAAATGGAATATGAGGGTAATTCACTTGTGTTTTTGCGTGTGCAAGAAGCTCTGAGTAGGGTTACCTCCCTGTTCTCTGCCGAGGGACATGTCCAAGGCTTAGGGTGAAATCTCTTTGAGAGTGACTGGGGGAAATGCTGGCACAAAGAGTGATAGTTAAATTTACAGAGAGATTGGGGCTTGCCACAGGCTTCTGTGTCCGTTATGTCATTGCAGTCTGGTAGGTAGGGAGGCATTACAAGCATGGCAGAGGGGGAAACAGATCACAGATCAAGAAAGTACCATGGCTTCCCCAAGACAGTGTATAAATTCATGGCAGAAGGAAGTAGGCTTTCTAGAGGGAGAAACTGAAACCAGGAATACTTTGTGACCTCCCCCAGGGGAGATGGCAGTTTGTGGCAGAGAAAGTAGGCTTTTTACAGGAGGGAAACAGAGTAAGAGCTTCCTGACTTCTCTAAGGCAACATGCAAGTCTGTAGCACAGCTGTGACAAGGGGCTGCTGGCCCAGGTCCTCCCAGGTCCATGCTCCCAGTGCCGGGACATCAACATTTGCGATTGTCAGAATACTTCCACAGACGCTATCTCGTAGAATGTGCACCTATGCCAAGGAAATAGGCCACATGAGTCCTCACTATCTTTGTTTTGCAAAAGGGGGAACTGAAGACAACAGAAGTGAAGTGACTGGCTTGGTTCACTTGGCTTAAGATTGTTGTTGATTCATTCATTCCATTTTTACTTCCACAAAAAGGATTGGAAGTTGCTTGTTAACAAACAAAAAGACATTTCAGGGTTCTTCTCTGTCACTGCTGGTCAGCTTCCTCTCTCTTGCTCTGGGCCATTGCATGTGCTTGTCCTCTTGCCTGGAGCAGTGTTCTTTTCTTCTCTGGTTCCTGCTTGTCCCCTGGGTTTTTGTTTAGACGTTATTTTCTCCAGAACACCTATGTCTATGTTGAAGCTCTTTCCTGTGTGTTTCCAGAGCAACCTGCATTTCTATCACAGCCCCTTCCCCACCCCACAAGTGTCTTATTGTTTTTTCTTCCCCCTGAGTTACTTCTCCAAGAGAGCAGATCTACATTCACCTTGTTCATGAGTGTAGCCTTAGCAGGGAATATCCTCTTGGCACAAAAATTGTACTCAGCAATTTCTTGAATGACTAATTGATTTACTGGATAAAAGTAAAGATTATATTTTGAGAAAGATAAAGAATAATTTTTTATTAGACGCTTGACCTGCAGTAGTTACCACACTAGAATACCATATTTAGCTCTGAACTTCCTAGAAGCCAAGGCAAAAATGGAAATTCTGTAAGTTATAAAATTCTCAGGAAAAATAAGCTTTTTTCCAACTGATTTTAGATCTAAAAAGAGGTTGATTGCACACAAGAAACACTAATATAATCAGCAGTATCTTCAAACATAGTTTATTGTCCCCACAGTGGGATGGTAAGGCCTTTACACTGACTTGCAATTGGGGGGTAATGTCTTTACAGGGAGCAAAAGTGACATGGTCTATTCCAATGGGCTGTGTTGGGCTCATTAGGCAGGAGGGCACTACAGAGTCAGCATCATACCAACAATTAACACAGGTGTCAGGCCCTGTTCTAAGTACTTTATAAGGATTAACTTATGCAACCTTTACAACCTGATGAGGGTAGGTACTCTGATTATTATCCTTTTTTTATAGCTGAAAAGACTGAGGAGAGAGGAACGTCCCCATGTTCACATAGCTAGGAGTAGGAGAGCCAGGATTTAAACCAAGGCAGCCAGGCCCAGGACATGGAATCCAGACCAGGGTTGGGTCCAGGGGGAGAAGTGTGAAGCACTCACTTTGGGTATAGAATTTAAGGGGGTGCCCCAAACTCAGAAATGTGCATGAATGATATTTTTAAAACACAAAAATTACAAAACCTCATGGTGAACAAATATCAAATACTTAAAAAATGTCAAAACTTAAAGCATGTACTTGCAAAGCCCATTTGCCTTGCCTCTCCCTAATCTTGACTCTGCTCTAAACCTCCTCTCTATGCTCTCCACATAATCTGGTTCTTTGGGATAATGCATTAGGATTTATGCGAAGCTCCTTGGAACCCCGCTGTGCTGCCTATAAGCTGTGTGACCTCAGGCAGGCCACTCAGTATCCCAGCCTCAGTCTCGGATAGAAGGCAGGTGGAGTTTTCAGTGTGATAATGCCCAGGACTCATTTGCACATCTGGGGCCTGCCATGACTGCTGCTATCTTCAAAGACTCACGTGGTGATGTGTTTAACCATGGCCCTGCATCCCATCATCACTCAGGCTGGCACACCCCCATCTTTTAGGGGGCCTTTCCTGGGGCCAGGCTGGAGTCAGAGGCTCAGGGCAGGCTGCTCCTTGGGATGTGGCCACCACAGAGGTGTCGGGGCTGAGAGGAGGAGGGAGGTACAGACTGAATTGGAGCTCATTCCTCTTTCCCTTTGCCAGTTCGAAGTGGGTCCCTATGGATGCATCCTGCTCACCCTGTCGGCCATCCTGTCCAGGTCCACAGAGCTGTGAGTATCTTCCTCCCTCAACTCCCTGGGGCCAGGCTGGTCTATCGTATTCACTGCCACCACCCAGAGCTCCGGGCAGTACTTGGCACGTGGCAGGTGCTCAGTGAATGTTGTGGAAAGGATGAATGAGCAGTGCAGGGAAAGTGGAGGAGAGAGAGCAGTCACATTCTATGTATACACATGTCCAGGGCTGCCTTCTCTGTGGCCTCTCCATGTGTGCAGGGGACAACCTGAGAGACACCTTCAAAGAGCTTGCAGGGCACTGGAGTAGGTACACACTGAAGCACTCCTGGGGACTCCCTTGGTGCATGTGTGGGGGACGGACAGTTGAGGATGAGACCCAAGACCCCCAAGCACTCAGGGCAGGAGGGATTTGCTATGGACCACACTAGTTCGGAAGCTGCAAGGATGAGGCTGGTGTCCAGGGCCAGCTCTGGGGAGATGAGTGGGCAGGTGCCTGAGAAGTCTTACAGGCAAGGGAAGTGGTGAGGCTGCTTGCCCTGATCTCCCCAGCTGCACCCCTGTTGGCTGGGTCCTAGCTCCGACTCTGCACATCCTGGTTGAATATGGTCCCCTAGACCACCTTAGAGTTGGGGTTTTTCTGTGAAGTTCATTGCCTGGAAGCTCTCTAGGCTTCTTGCCTATATTTGTCACCTGGGCGTTATGTCACCAGGGAGCACAACAGATTAATAAGGCACGAGTAGCTGTGGAAAGTACAGTTGATTGTCCCATTCACTTCCAAGCAGAGGGCAGAACACTGAGGGCACAAAGTCCCAGGGAGTGCATCTCACTTTGGAGGGGGCTTAGTGGGGAAGATTTGGGAACAACTCTCAGGAGGTGGCCCCTGGAAAGGGGAGACAGAAGGAGTAGCTTTGTGGTCCCCAGGCTGGGGAGGCCTCAGCAGGACATGCTTGCTCTCCCACCCTGGCCGGCCCTGTACTTGTTTCCAGGGGCCTCTGCTGTAAGTGGGAGGGCAGTGGGGGCTGTGCTGCCTTGTACACTGGCCTGCCTATTGCTTGCTGCTACTGACCTTATTAAATGCGTATGTGTACACAGCGCTTTCTAATGGCATTTTCCTTCTAATCCTGCCATAATGATATGATTCATTCCTGGCATGGGCTCACGTGCATGGAGACTGTAAGCTGGCCTGCCTTCTCCCTGGCCTGGGTTTGCTAATCCCAGGCTGACCAAGTTGGGTGGGGGTCTCTTGGTCTCATTGAGGGAAGCTGTGCTCTCAGGAGGTCCAGGTCTGGGGATGCCTGCCTCAGCTACTCCCTCTGTGAGGGGCCCCCAGGCTCTGGGGATCTCAGAATCTGTGCTCAAGTGTGTTTGCTTCCGTGATCACTGGGGCAGTCTGGGAGTGGGACACCCTGTTACACATGTGCTTTCGTGTGGCACCCTTTCCCTGTGAAAGTGGCTTTAGGGTCCCACTCCCAGGCTACTCTTCACTTTGTATAGGGATGGAGGACTACGGCTGCTTCTGTCTGCCCTCCACCCTAGCCAGCCAAGCCTGCCTAGCCGTCCAGACCTGCACAACCTTGTGCGAGTGGGCCTGAAGCCACAGCCCTGCCAACATACATGCACACACACACACATACACACACAGATGTACATGGCCGCATCCATAGATGCACATACCTGGATATATAGACACACATGTGGACACGGTATACACAGACAAACTCACAGTCCAGCTATTTCCTCAGGGCACCTAAGCCCTTCCCTGGGTCCTGTAGACAGATGGTCCTGAGGCCCCACAGGGCAGCTTGGAACAGCCTGGCCTCTGCTTCCCAGAGGACCCAAATAAAGACCTGTGTGGTGCTAGAGGTGTGCTGGCAGGGCATGCGTTGGGCTTTGTCCTCCCCTGTGGGCTCTGCTTCCCCTCTCCTAAGACAACAATGGAGTGGAGATTCTCACGGGTAGTAAGAATGATAGCAACCGGCATTCGTGATGCTTCCTGTGTGCCAGAGCCTTTGCTTTACCTGTTACACACGGAGCTCACAGAGCCTCCAGGCAACCCTGTTAGGTGGGCACTGTTAGGATCACTATCACCATTCCTATTTTTTGGATGAGGAATCAAGGCTTGGGTAGGTGAGTAGTTTGCCTATAGCAAGTAGAACTGGTAGCTCCAGGCTCCACCTAGGCAGTCTGGCCCCAGAGCTGACTCTTTTGGTTTGCTGTTGAAAACTTGAATTTGTGAATAAGACAGACTTGGTTTTAGGTCTGACTCTGTTCCTGGAGGTTAGGCCTCTGTGAAATGGGAGTGGTAATTCCTGCCTCACAAGATCCAGCGGTGCCTCACATAGCTTCTGGTGAGTGCAAGCCTGTTCCAGCTGTGTTCAGATGCCTCTGTGCCCCTTCTTGTCTTTTCTTACCTTCATTGCTGGCTTGGTACCCATGGTGGAGACCACATTGCCACCTCAGTAGACACACCACAGGGATGTCCTGCAGTTCCCCAAGGGGCTTCTGTTGCCATACTCACCCTTTAGATGCTTCCTGATAGCCATCTAGCTCCCTGAACTCGGAGTACCCCTGCTGGGAGGGCACGTGGGGCCCTGGCCTTCCCTGGGGCCTGTAGTTCAGAGGTCTACTTGATTAGACACTCAAATCTCTGATGTAAGAACTTGGTTAGACTGGGGGCTTCAGGTGAGGGATAGGGCAGGCCTCTGGGATCCCACCAGTTGCACCCTCCCTTCTGACTGCTGCTGTCCCAGGGCTACTGGAGAGGAAAGCTGACCCTTCCCCACTCCATGGTCTGGGGGACTTCTTGAGGAGCAAAGACAGGAATGACAGAGTAGGGATAGCCCAGGCAGTTGTGGTGAGACATTCACATCAAAATGATTTCAAGATAACATGTTAGCATTCCAGGTGTTTGTAAAGGCTCCTGGGAAGAACCTGTCCCCTGGCCTTCCAAAGGGGAGCCCCTGGAATGATGCAGTCCCCTCATGGGCCATTCACGCTGCACTCAGCAGTGCTCTCCTTCTCCCTGAACTTCCTGTTATACCCAAAGCGAGAGGAATAGAGAAACGCCAGCACATTGCATCCAAATTAAGCAAGGGTCCTTTATTGACTGGCCGGGTTGAGAGTTGGCTCACACCTCAAAGTCTCTTGACAGCTAGAAGCAGGGGTGGAAAGCTTTTATATGGGGCATTTGGTTGGGGGGGATCCTTAATGCAAGCTGAATTTGACAAGAACCAACACCTGGTAAGGGAAGTCCTTATAAGGAGAAGCTGGGGTTTTGCAGTTATTACTAAACTTTTTCAGCTGAGCTTCCTGTCTTAAAGGGTGAGTGTTGAAAGCCCTTAGCAAGATGGAGTTGGGGCATAATATTCTGAACTCTGCTGTCTGGAGGGATGCCAGCCAGGCTTGACCGAAGGTTTGCTGTGATTCTCCAGCAAAGATAACGGCCCTGCATCACCTACCTTCTGCCTGCTTCCATAGGGGTTAGCAGGTGGCAAAGGCCTTTATGGACATTTGGACAGGCAAGTGCAAGTGTCACCCATCTCAAGCACCATTAAGTATGTCCAGAGAAGCCCAGTGGAGTGGCAAGTCTCAGAAAAGCATGCACTTGTTGGTCACAACATAGCAGAAGGAGACCTGGGTCCCCAACTTGGCTCAGCTACACATAAGCTGTGTGATTGACCCAACCTGTGCTGTAGGCTCTTTATCTAACAGGAGGGCTTAGACTAATGCTTTTTGCATTATTTTTTTGTCGGAAATGAAATCTGATCTTTTTTTCCAGATGAACTTTATTCCAAAGGTCACTGTGTAAAATAAAGCAGATGTAGCAAACTAAATTTGACTAGAGCAGCAGAGGTGGGAAGGGGAGATCACTGCTAGTCATTCCCTGCCTCCCAACCTGGCGTTCACACCTATTCTCCAGCCATGGCCTCTGAGATCCTCTTTGGAGCAGTCCCAGCTCTGCAAACACAGCTTAAAAGCCTCAGGACCAGACGATCACCAAGGGCCTTCCTGTTCTGGGGTTCAGATTCAGCCTTGCCAAAAAATCCTTTGATGCTGTTTCAGGGTGATCTGTTATTACTTTGGGGAGTTGAAAAACATGTCTTGGTAGCCCAAAGAAATGATAGGCTGTAAGATCACATGTTGTTTAGCTGGGGAGAAGTGGAGTCATGGTTTAGTAAAACCCATCCAGTTCTTAATGGTGTCACTGTGGGGTATGTGTGTAGATGGGAGAGATCAGGGAGACTGCGGCTGGGTGCAAGATGACATGGGTATTGGTGGTTGCATGTGTGGTCGTGCTGGTGATGTGTGACAGAGAGGGCATGATGGTCCCTCCCTCCTGGCAAGGCCTCTCTGATTCATGCCTGGGCATTGGAGGACTCTATCCTGTGGCCTGGAGGCTATCCTCGCACCAGAGTTAATGCCTTCTGTCCATCAGTTGTTCCTAACCCAGAGTACAGCCAGGGTGAGGGCACCATGGGCAGATGCAAAGCCAGCTGGGTGCAACTGACCACTGCCTGGCCACTTCACTCTCAGAGGCCCCTGGACTGTCAAGAAACAGGCCTTTGATGTTGGTTTACCCCAGGCTGTGTGCAAAGTCTGGTGAAGGTTTTATTTTTTCCCACTTGATTTCAAGTCATTTTCTTTTTTGAGATCTCAAGTTACTTACAGTATATCTCATGCCACATTTCATGCTCGCCTAGCTCCACTGCTTCCCAAACCACATACACCTTTTCCCAGGAACTCTCATAAGCCCCAAGGATGCTCAGGGACCTGGGATCAGCTCTGAGCTGGGCCTGGACAGCACAGTGCACGGGCTGCTCTCGCCCTTTGGTGGACCACATGCCTGGCTGGCATGGTTGGAGAGACAACTTGTGGAAGAAACCTTTCCATACAATAGTCTCTGGGCCTTCATAACAGCAACTTCAGCTGCCCAAAGGCAATCTTGAAGGTCCAGAAGAGGTGGTAGTTCATCATCACTAAAGTAATGTTTGAATAGCACAAGCCAGGTACTGATGAGGAGGGGACTGGGAAGGATC